TAATATGAAATAAACAAAAATGATGTTTTGTTGTTGGCCAGGTGCTGTTTATTGCTGCAATCATCGCAGGATCAGCATCTGTATAAAGTAAGGATGGTGTTAATCCTCCCATTGCTTTGGAAAGACTCGTGAATAACCATAAAAAGGTGTCTTTTATTTCATCTGACACTATAGCGGTTGCTGCAAGGCGGAAGCGATTGTGATTATCTACCAATATTACAACACACAAAATCATTGAATAACGATTTGTTTTTGCTGTTGTATCAAGTAAAATTATATCATGAAAACGAACCCACAATTCTTGTTAGCTTGGACGCATTCAACAAAATCCAACAAGATGATTATCCTGACCTTCAAAACGTGCATCAACATGAAATGTTAGATTTTCCTGCTGCTGATTCATAAGTGCAAGATACATCAAACCAGCATCACTTGTAGTTTGATTTTTGTGTCAGATTGTTTGAATCAAATTGTAAACATTACGGGAATAAATGTATTTGTCTGGATATTTATACTGTAAAACTTCAATAATTGCACCAGCACGCATCTCACAAGTAGCGAGAAGTGCTATGTCATCACGCATTTCTAGAGTAAGCTTACGATAACAAGGGAAAACCATTCTAATATTCTCTACTAATTCGTGATTATGCTCACCCTCAACCTTTGTAATGTGAACGAGATTGTCCTTTTTTCGACGGTAAGCATTAATATGAAACTTGCAATTATTTGTATTATGTCCTCTGTTGATTATATATTCGACCTTTTGAGCATGCATAAATATGACGTCAAGAAAAACCATCATCCTTATCTTTATCGCTGTGGGTAATCGTAAATGCAAAGCCTTGTTCTAATCCATAATTTTCAAGCCATCTTAATAAAACAAAAAAAGTTCTAATATTATTATACAGGTATAAATAATATGACATAACTTCCTAGCATACTTATTCGTCAAGTTTTTTCCAGTTTGCGAAAGTCATATCTGGTGTAACAGAGTACAATAGTTCAATATTTTCAACTTCTTCGTAGTTATTCTCAAAAAACTCACTAAAAGACTCTTCCTCATTTAAAACAAATGATTGTGTGTCGTCAGCTAAAAGGTTAAAAGTATCTTCTGATATTCCAGATGAGTCAAAGTCATTGACACCATCATATTCATCTTCAATATGAAGAAATAGTGTAAAGGAAAAGGAGTGAAAAGACATGACTAATATAATTAAATGTAAACGGTAAGTGGTGAGTAGTAGGTAAGTGATGCTAAACATAAATGGTGTTAAAGTATTAAAACATTCAATATAAAGAGAGCGAAAAATATGTTTAATTACCGTAATTTCTAATTGCTTGACTCTGCTTTATACCAAATAAGAGATATTGTTATAATTAAAATTCTCATTACTATGAAATTTTAAATGAAATAATGCTGAGAAAATTATTATTTCATAAAGTCAAAAAAATCGGTTTAAATTCAAAAACCAACAAGTTTGACCACTATCAAAAAAAAAAAAGTTATAAGAAACAGAGGAAAAGAAAGTATAAGGAACGAAGAGAGTGAGAAAAAAAAACTTTAAGCATATGAAAGTGACACACAAATATACATTTAAAATTTAAAGTTTTGTATCAGAACTGATTATCTGATATCAATAAAGTTTATTTGCATAACACGTCACGTACTGCGCCAGCACATGTCACGTCTTCCGATTGGGCAATAAATAACAATAATCATGTGATCACATGATATGGTGTTGAACACCGCGGTGTGGTTTATAATTCCCGAAAATAAATAGTAAACTGGTATATCGTTTTTAGATGATACAATTACCAATGTAAATAACAATTGTGCAATTTTTTTTAGCTACATATTGGATCTTATTTTTTTAAAATATTTAATTGGACATAGTCATTATTTAATAATTAAAACATTGATGAAACAAATTCATTGAGGGGTAAAAATTTAATTTGTCGGAGTTTGAATGAAAAAAAAACGTAACACTAACTAATGCAGGCCCGAATTAATATTGCATCATTCTTCAGTTTAATTCGCTTGTTGTTGATAAGATTATATTTAAAAATCTCTTCCCGAATAAACAAACAATAAATCATATACAAATGACCATTTATTCATTTTTATGGAATTAGATGGATAGATCACGGAAAAAGAAATAAAGAGTATTAAATAAATGATTTATTTATTTATATTTTTAAGAAAGGGAACAAGAACGCCGACAAGTTTGTTGTCATTTGTTAAACAAGGGCTAACAACTTCGATTGTCATTACTACCTCCAAATTAAAATCATCAACTAATCAAAATTTATAATTATCTCTTATCATATCCACATAAGGTGTATCGTTGTATTCATATGACTCATAATATAAATTTGGCGTTTTGCATAATTTTTTTTTATATATTTAAAGAGTACGCCAAAAATAAAAATTCTTGAGCGGTCTCTTACCGAAATTTCTGCTCACTCTCATAAATTTTCTTTCAAATTGTTTTTTTTTTTTTGTATATAGATCCTTTATTCACCTGTTTTTCTGAAATATATTTTTTCCGTTTTGTATAATATTTTATCTACGATACCCGTTTTCATATAAATATTTAATAATGCTGACCCAAAAATTTATCCTTGTTGCAGCCTTGTTCCTTTCCACCTCAGCTGCACCTTATTATAGTTCTCAAACAGAGAGTAATGTTGCTCCCTTATATTCTTCGGATTCTGCTCAAGTGATTCCTGACTCTTATATTGTTGTCTTGAAAAAACAACTTGAAAAGGCAAAAATTGAATATCATCATGAATGTGTTCATAACTTTGTTTCTGAGGAAAAAAGAAGCTTATCAAAGAGAAGCATTTTAGGAGATTTAGTTTCTGGTATCAAACATACATTTAAATTTGATAACTTCCAAGGTTATTCGGGTAGATTCACTAACGAAGTTTTGGATAGGATCAGACGCAGTGACGAGGTAAATATTCCTAAAAAAGAGCGAGAAAAAAAATCTCTAATTTTTGGGCTAAGCAATAACAAAACATGCTTTTTGTTTTATTATAGGTCGCTTACGTTGAAAAAGATCAAGTCGTTTATGCCACTAACATTTTAACTCAAACAAATGCCCCCTGGGGTTTGGCTCGTGTCGCTCATCGTGAATCTTTGAATTTTGGAAATTTCAATAAATACTTATATGATAGTAAAGCCGGAGAGGGAGTTACCATCTATGTTATCGATACTGGTATAAACGTCGGTCATGTCGATTTCCAAGGTCGTGCAATATGGGGTAAAACTATTCCTCAAAACGACGAAGATCTTGACGGAAACGGGCACGGTATGTATAAATAAATACTTTTATTGATTAAAATATTTGTTAATAGTATGATTATTCATGAAAAGTATTTTCCCTTTAAATAATAATAGGAACACATGTCGCTGGTACAATCGCCGGATATCGTTATGGTGTCTCTAAACATGCTAAAGTCGTCGCTGTTAAGGTCTTGCGTTCAAATGGTTCTGGTACCATGTCTGATGTTATTAAAGGTGTTGAATATGCTGCCGTATCCCATATTGAAGCAAAAGACAAAGCTCGCAAGGAAGGTAAACCATTCAAAGGTTCAGGTGCCAATATGAGTTTGGGAGGTGGTAAGAGTCAAGCTTTGGACTCTGCTGTTAATGGGGTAAGTGTTTAAATTATCCATTAAGTAAAGTAAATTTGTTACTATACTCTTCTTCATATTAATAATTTTAATGAATTCAATAGGCTGTTGATGTTGGTCTTAACTTTGCCGTTGCTGCCGGAAATGATAATCGTGATGCATGTGATTACTCGCCCGCAGCTGCTGAAAATGCAATTACTGTTGGTGCCTCTACTATCGAAGATGAACGTGCTTGGTTTTCAAATCATGGTCCATGTGTTGACGTATTCGGACCTGGTAAAGATATCCTTTCAACATGGAAAGGATCAAAAACTGCTACCAATATCATTTCTGGAACTTCAATGGCTTCACCTCATGTTGCTGGTTTAATAGCTTACTTCCTTTCACTTGAACCAGAAAGTTCATCTGAATTCTTTAGTACTTCATTGACTCCAAAACAGCTTAAGGATAAAATCATTAGATTATCCACAAAGAATATCCTTGAAAAGATTCCATCTAATACTCCAAACCTCTTGATATTCAATGATAACTAATAAATGACATTAAACACGTCTTTATTCAGAGACACAAAGATTATTATATTTGCAACAAGGAGAATTGATTGGGTCAAAAATAACAACAGTTAAAAGAGCATAGTTTAGAATTAAATGTTGTTCATAGATCTTTTTTCTTTTTTGTTAATATAGGATATTTGTTTGTTAAATTTTCATGTTTTATTAATTATATTATTGATTTCTTTTTATATAGTAATTTTAGTTTTTTTTTTGAGTGATTTAATAAATGAAATTAAAGATTTAAATAAATTTTAACAAATATATTTCTACTAAATTTTGGATCATCACAAGTTCGATTACAATCCAGGGTCCGAGTATAAATTCTAAAAATTTCAAGGGGTGCAAAACGTCTTAACTATATTTAGGTGATAAACCTGACGCGATAAATACCATTCAGGAAAGCAATGTATACAAAAGGACATCTATGATAATTCTCATATAGCTGCCTAAAAAATAATTAGTTCTATATTCAGCATTATTATTGGTGATTAGGTTGATAACACCTTGAACCATAGCATAACATTACATAAGAAGGTTGGCCAAATCCAATTTCTATACAGACAGATTTGAAAGAAAATACTTTATAGTAATAAACGACCTATAAATAATCTAAAAATATTTTATACTATGATCCAGATGATATAATAAGTAATTTTAATATGAAGTTATGAATGCTTTTTATTCAATTTATTATATATACGGTATAATACTTACTTGATTATTAAACAAATATATGATAATTTAATTAATCAAGTAAAAATAAATTAATTACAATTTAATCTTTAAATTAAATATTTTTATAGAAAAAAAAATTTATAGCAAAAGTTAACCTGTAACTTATGCTATTATTAATGAGATTACTATATACTTGTGAATTCACATAAAAAAAATATATTAAATATATGGTAATCAAGATCATCAATTTATTTAATGATAATTTTCTATTTAACATTTCAATTATTTTTCCATACAGTAATATATAATATTTTAATAAACAGTCGAAAATGTAATAAACTTTATGATACTCGGTGAACAATAACTTATTGAAACTTAAAATATTTAACATTTCAAATATCATCTATACTATAATAAACGATAATTTATACGCGATATACTTAACAAGCATCTTTCTTAGCAATATGAGCAATCAAATCGACAACACGAAGAGAATAACCAACTTTTTTGTGATAAATAAAAAATAATGAGGATTAATGGTTGTTCGTATAATAAAAACATACGGAGTTTGAACAAATACTCACATTCGTTATCGTACCACGCTATAAGTTTGACGAATGTGGGGCTTAATTGGATACCTAAATGATGAATGACGAAAGAATAATTAATAATATGATAAGATATTTGAATAAGACAAATTAAATTTACTAACCGGCTTTGGCATCAAAAGTACTGGAATGAGTGTCACCAATGAAATCTGCGGATACGACCTATAACGAATATAAAAATTATTATTTAAACAATAAAAATAATATGATTCTGTAAATTTTATTAATATTTACATCATCTTCAGTATAAGCAAGGATTCCTTTCAACTCGTTTTCAGAAGCTTTCTTGATAACTGATTTGATTTCATCATAGGTGGTCTCTTTCGACAAACGAACTGTTAAATCAACAACCGAGACATCGGCTGTGGGAATTCGGAAAGCCATACCAGTGAGTTTTTTATCCAAAGATGGAATAACCTATTTCAAGAGATATGCCCGGTTAAAAAAATTATATCTACATGGTAGTGTAAATTATAAAAGTAGTACTCACTTTCCCAACGGCTTTCGCTGCGCCAGTAGAACTAGGAATGATGTTTTGGGCTATAAAAATCAATAAAGTACAATTAATCTACGATAACAAAAAATAAAAATGGTCTTGTTGATTTTACACACCTGCACCTCTTCCACCTCTCCAATCCTAAAAATAGAGAGGAACATGAGAATTTAATATTTAAGAATACACAATGATAATAAATTTAACGTTAAGCACCTTGCCAGATGGAGCATCAACGGTCTTTTGAGTGGCTGTAGTGGCATGAACTGTGGTCATCAAACCTTCAAGAATACCAAATTTATCATGGATTACTTTTGCTAGCGGTGCTAGGCAATTTGTAGTACAAGAAGCATTAGAGATCACTTTGTATTCGGGTTTGTAAGCATCCAAATTGACGCCACACACAAACATCGGAGCGTCAGCACTGGGCGCAGAGATAATGACCTATTTTGATGAAATATATAGTTATAGCATGTATTGTGAAACTTAAAACCGGAATTATAACTAAAGCTAACCTTTTTGGCTCCCTGGTAATGAAATCGAAAACAAATAATTTAAGGAAGTTCGATTTAATACAAGCTGCGAATTCAATTAAAAACAAAAGAATAAACATACCCCTATCAAATGAAGAAAAATTTTTTAAATAATGAATAAAATCGCGTAATAATAATTTTCATTAATCTATACCTTTCAAGTGAGCTGAGGCCTTTTCAACAGTCGTGAATACACCGGTTGATTCGACTATGTAATCAGCACCAACCTCACCCCATTTAATATCAGCAGGATTTTTTTCCGCAAAGACGGCAATTTCTCGACCGTTAAGTATGAATTTCCCCTGTTTTTCTTCAACTTGACCTTTGAATCGGCCGTGGGTCGAATCATATTTGAAAAGGTAAACCTAAATGAAGGATTGAATATTAACTTGGGTAATATTTTTATAAAATCCCTAAATGTTAATATTTCTTTGAATAGTCTTACCATATAATCAGGGTTCAAGAAAGGATCATTTAAAGCCACAACCTCGATTTCGGGGATAAGCAAAGAAGCACGGAGGACGAGACGTCCAATACGACCGAAACTTTTTTTTTTAAAAAAAAAATTTTTTGATTTTTCTTTGATAAAAAATTCATTCAAATACATGTTACTATTAATTAATAAGATGATGATTACCCGTTGATACCGACTTTGACAGTCATTTTAAATTCTTTTATTCAAATCGTACAAGTGTGCAGTAAAAAAATAAAAAATAAAAAAAACTTGCGGCACTGAGAAAAAGGTGAGAGAAGGGTAAAATTTTGCATTTATATAAAAATTAATCACACATTTATCAGAACATCTAATCTGTTATTGATATCACGATGACGAGTATATTATGGGCTGTTAAAATAATTGGGAACAAGCTTATGACAAAAGACCAATAAATTATGGTGAAAACGACATATCTAAAAGTTTTAGTATAAGATCGACCCAGAAAATCGAACCATTTTTTTTTTTTATAATCAAGTGAAAATACTTTTTTTTGTGAATTGATCATTTGAATAAAATGCGTCGTACGTTTCTACTTGTAAGCGATATTCATTATCGTTTAGATAACATCATAAAACTTCAAAATTGGTTGGTTCAAAAGGATCGATTGAAAGAGTTACGTAGCGTTTTTTTTCTTAGTGTCATAAACTATGTGATATATAACATATTAACAAAAACATTTATTAAAGAATTGATTATATTATCGCATCTGGTGATCTTGCAAATGCGGATTATTTAACACCAACTACGGAAAAGGTTTTTTTATTAGTTTCACTTTGATTCCTTATCGCTAATATAATATTAACCGTTACTGATTTGTAGGATGTGCAAGAATTTCGCGAGGTGATTTCTGCTCTTCAGAATTTTGGCAGGCCATTGTATTACATACCTGGTATTATCTATTTGTAACCCTCTTTATCTTTC